TTAATTAACTTAGACCTTATGTTTGCATGCAACTCTTTATTATAGATTTTAATTTCTATCTACCACATTTTATAACTCTTATAAAATTTAAGAAATTAAAACTATAAACATGCATTGAAAGCATACATTAATATAACAATTATATTATCCAAAATAATGTCATGCTCAATGCAACTTTATTTTCATCTAATTAATACAACACTTATATTAATTATGAAAATAAAACGTGCATACATACATTATAACATTTATAACTATATGATGCATGACCATACATACATACTATATATCAAACATACATATTATGCATGTAACCTATAGTGGGATTTTAAAACTATATGGCATACAATATGCTATATGATTTTAATTAAAATATACATTCATAATGCATAAAATAATTAAATAGCAAAGTTGGAACGGTTTTTGACACCCTAAGAAAACGAAATAATACAAAATAAGAAAACCGACTGCATCCGCCCTCGAACCGCGAACCGGAGCCTCGGAACCGTGTCGAAAGACACCCAGGACAGCGCCTCGGCGTCTAAGGGCAGCGCCGCAGCGCCCTGGCATGGCGGCGCTACAGTGCAGTGCCGTGGCGCTGTATGTTGTCCCCGCAGCGCCATGGCGCAGTCTGCTTCGTCTTCTTCGCTGTTTTCTGCAACTTTTTGCCCAATCCGACGCCACGAATGACTTTCGAGCGACCCGAACTTTCAGAACCAAAGCAGAAACATAATGCCCAAAACACCGGGCCCTTACATGATCAAATCACGAAGTAAAACACTATCTAGGCGCCAAAAATCGGAAATTTTCCAACCCGCAACCCATATTTCGAAAATATGAAATCACCCACCAAATTTAGCGATTTTGATCCCAAAAAATTAGAACAGCAACCTGGCACTGATACCAATTGAAGGGATGTGATTCCCAGAGCGGAAGCGGATCTTCGTTTCTGATTTTCGGGATACAAAATCCAAATGGAAAGAAGGAAATACAGGGGAAAAATCAAACCTTTGAAAAACATTTCTTCAGTGAGTTCCCCTCGAACGCCACCACCGGATCTCCTTGCTATCCTCTTGGGTCTCGGGATCGTGCTGGTGGGAGCAAATCTTTTTGGAATGAAAGGGAGAGTTTGAGAGAATTTTTCCTTTTTTTTTCTTTAGAGAGAGTAAGCAGAACCCTTCTGCTGTGTACTAAAAAGGAGGTGATGTGGGATAACTGCCCACATCACCACTCCCCTATGTTTTTGGGGGAAGAGGTGGTGTTTGTTTGTTTGTTTTTTTTTAATTTTATTAATTAAAATCAATTAATTAAATTAACTAATTAATTTAATTAACTAATTAAAATTAATTAATTAACATTTAATTAATCAATAATTTAATTAATCATTAATCTAATTCATAATTAATAATTAATCAAATTCAAATATTAATTAAATATAATTATAAGTTTGAATCATATTCAAACAACTCTCTCTTGTATAGCCTATAGTTTTAATGTACATCGCATGCACATTATTTTTAACCTATAGTTTTAATATGAATCTTATTCATATTAATTTTATTTGAATCTCATGCAAATAATTTCTCTCATAATATATAGTTTTAATTTAGAATTAACTATATATTATAATGTATCAATATACATATAATC